TCAGAAAACTTGAATTATAAGCTACAACACAACAAAATGTTACTGCATATTTCATCATACACTATATTACAAAACCAAAGAGGAAATTGCAAAACATCTATTTCAACAGCAACAATGAATCTGCTTAATCAAACTCTAAATTATAGATGCTTATATAAGTCTAAGGGGTACTGGTTGACTTTAAAGTATAAGAAAAGACCAAAATTAGAGCTACAACAGCCAATGCATTTAGAAGGTATCCATGAAGATAAAAGTACCAATCCTAGATTCATTTTCAAGGAATAAAACATTTCAGTATTTAGTATCAATAACAGGTACCTAGAGTCTGTACAACAAGCAGGCCCACAATATCCACATTTGTCTGCTTTCCTATAAAGAATTTTTAACCAAAGAGAGAATTCCCACAAAATTCAGCATGAAATTAATGCCAGTGAAAATCATCATACTACTTTCAATTAAATAAATATAACAGCAAATACCAGTGGGGACAGCCTACTGCAACCAACTGGACATAAAACATAAACATTGCTCTCATATGGTTAAACCACATCACACTGTCAATCAGTCACCCTTTGCACTGAATAATATGAATGCAACCCAAAACGGAATAATAATGCAATCCATAGGGTCCCAATGTGTGGTTCACTCATGTGTTCTGTGAGGCCTTCATATTTGTAATATTGTATCACCCAATATAAAGAAGAGACAATTATTGCCTAATATTTACACAATTTTAAGTGAATAGTTAATGAAAATGACAAATCAAGAAATTTATTAAAGAAAATAATATGGTATGTAACCTGTTTGCCAAGCATTCTTATTAAACTGCCACTGAGTTTCAATAAATTGTCCAAAGTGGCCTGAATGTGGCTAGAAGATATATTTATTTATGGATTATTTAACAATGTTGTCAGTAGCTCAGACTACATAGTATTGAGTGAATAAAATAAAACAGGAATTAGAAAGACTGGGTATGGGGGATATCTGGAAAATGGAGGAGTAAAAAAAGTAAAGTTTGTCCCACTATATGCCATGTAGGCGTTTGGGGTGAGTGGAGGTATACCTCCTCTCTTCCTTGACCTCGGCACTAGATGGGGGTGAGTGGTCAGCATCACGCCCCGGCCGTGCTTTATCCCCGGGAAAGGACCCCGGTACCCATTGTAGAGGAGGCTGGGTGGGCCCCAGAGCCGGTCTGGACGCAGAGGCTAGAGGAAAAATCCTCTGCCCCCATCGGGGATCGAACCCCGGTCGTCCAGCCCGTAGCTAGTCACTATACTGACTGAGCTATCCCGGCTCACGGAAAATGGAGGAGTGAATAATAGAAATGAATGGAATCTTGTTGATAGGAAGAAGGTTGCTCTGGAAATGAATTTGGCAATGGTTAAAGGTTATTCAGCATATTCACATGTAAACAGAAGTAAGCAAAATGTGTGTATATTGAGAGAGAGAGAGAATACAGAAGAACATATGAGAGAAAAAAGATTACTGGTATTTTACAATGAACTAAAGAGTAGTTGGGACAAATTATTATACATAGAATCACGTATTCAGGAAGGCCAGGAGAGACAGAGGATAGTGGAAAATGGGTGTCTGGAAAGTGAAGGGTGTTAGGGGAAATATGCAGTGAAGAGGAAGGATGGTGTCACATTTGGAGATGTGAGGGAAACAGAAGTTGGAAAGATGAGTTAGCAGATGAAATCCTTACAAGTACTAACCCACAAAATAGAATTAGAAAGATAGTTGCAAGGAAAAATAAATACATCTGGTAGAAAAAAAATAGATTAAATTCATGCAAATACACAAAATGGGAAATGTTAGTTAAGAAGTATGAAGATGAAACACACAAGTTAGTGTGTAGCAAGGATGGGAGATAGTTGATACAGTCTAAACAGAAACAGGGTGGGGAAGAAAATGGAGTGTAAGGTGAATGTAAATACAAGTCAGAAACCAGACAGCAAGACGAGGAAGCCATGTCCAGCTGTGCAAAATGCAAGCACAAACAGAACCAATTAATGTAAATGTCTCTGATATAGTCAATAGTGTACAGGTTTGTAATAATAAATGCTAACATACATCATGCATATCTATGCAATAACATCTTTACTACTCCAGAATAACATACATTAAACACTGTGTTCATTCTTCACATTACATTGCTAAAGCAATCCTATGCCAACGAAATAATGACGCTGACCATACTAGTAAACTTCTGAACAGTTTTGATCAAGACGTTAAAACTTACAAATTTGCATGCATTATGTTGCTAGAAACCCTTAAGAGGAGGCAGAGGGTACTCAGAGTTTATGATATCCATGGAGGTACTGTCTACGCAAGCAATCTATAGATATTAATGATAATATTACTGGAAAACATGTACATACCCAATGGTCAAAATTAATTACTTAGATTGTATAAAATCTACAACCTCTTGATCCAGCCTGCATTGATTCAACAGTTTCAGTAACAAGTAGAATGCCTAAATAACAAAGTTTCAGATTAGAGCACTTGGACACAATTTTGGTGTCAATCTATGACAAATCAACATAGCTCACAAACTGTCTTCTGGGTTGTTGTACCATGAACTGGTTGAGGTTTTTAAACAGAGGTATTTACTTCCTCCAACAGCCATGAGGATGGAGGCAGAAAGCATCTCTGAAACGTTGGTAAACTTCTACCAGACTATGTGGTGCCAACAAACCAGAAGACAGCCATCATCAGTTTCACTCCTGTTTGTAACTTTCTCAAATATTTTGGGAAACAATGTCAGTAATAAAATTGGCCAGTAGTTGGAAATGTAAGATTTTTATCTTTTTTATGCAGAGGTTTAACTTATGAACACTTAAGTCATTCAGGAGTTCCTTTGGTGACTGATTACAGAGAAAACTCAGAGAAACTTTAACATAAGCAGAGCAAGTTTTGAGTAATTTAGTTAACACCTGTTCCTTACCACAAAGGTGCTTACTATGTATGGATAAAATTATTTAGTACTCTTGCAGCTAGTATTAGAAGTTTAAGTAATGATATAAAAGTATTTAAGCCAGTACTGAAATATTGTTTTTATCTTACTCTTATTATTGTGCACTGATTTCCAATTTTCATTTCTTAAACCAGTTGTAAATTCACTGACAGGAAGATCATATGACTTGTATCCTACAACTGTGATTACTTGCAACTGGTTTCATATTCTTCATGACTGTCAGCTATCATGGACATAGTCCACTTACCACTGGTTTTATTACATAATGATCCTTCCCAGTATTATCTATTAAGATTATCAATGGTGGTGCTAGAGCCATTTTGGATTATTGTATGATACACTATTCAAATTTAAACTAAATTATTGCTGACAATTTGTCATTTATTAGTAATATCCGAAACACATTGCATCACTACTTGGTAAACAGATGGAATGTCAAATTGGTCAGTTGGAACTTGTAAACATATCTGGTTTCCGTCTTTCAGTGCTCTTTGTACAAAGCAAATGTTTCGGGGATTCTAATAACATTATGTTTAGCTTAAATAGAATTTTAATGCTGTCACAAGGAATATTTACCTTACACGTAGTTATAACTGCTCAGCCGCATTACCCAACAACCACATACTTCAACCCGTCGATAGCACGAAAAATATCTGTTGTACGTCGTACGAATAGCCAACTTAAACATCACAACATTTCCTGATCTAGTGACTACTGCAAATGGAATCTGAGGTCCGTACTATTGTTATACATACCCAATTTATGCTTCTATAATCAGTGATTATCCGTAAAATTGTTTATAGATATAATTTCCAAATGACATCTTTCTGAAGATAGTCTTGTCTCCTGTGTACAAATACTGTATTTTGTTATGTTTGAATTGTTGTAACTAATTTGTACATGTCTATTTTTTGTGTTTGTGGAACATGATGGGAAATTTGCGTTGGAATCTTTATAGTTTTTGTTTGGAATGTAATAAACCTATAATTATAAAATTTGTATTTGTATAGAGTTTGTAAAACAAGTTATTCTATTGGTTTTGAATGACGTTCATGCAGTGTTTTAAATTTGGCACCATTTGATAGATTATCGACTACGCACTAATAAAATCGTGCATCTAGCATCGCACCAAAAATATAGTGTACATCATAAATAAATGTTTCTTCTGGGCAGTATATAACTCAGTAAGAACTGCAGTAAACAGAATTGGTAAAGATGGACTGTGTCATCAAATTTTATAGTAGTTGTATTTTTGCCCAACGATAACCCCTATTGTTTACAGATGCAGTCACTATGTTGGAAAAATACTGTGTGTTCCAAAAACTGTTTTGGTCATGGCGATAACAGAATAGGTGTGGCTATGAATGGGAATATATACCATGAGAGGCAGGTCAGAGTAAAGCTGGTGAAAAATAACGGTGGTGTATTTCCTTTAAAAATAACTGCTGAGCACTTGTGTGTGATTGTTCCAAACAGGTGAAGGAATTGTGTGCATTGCATGCACTGAATAATCTGTTTCAAGAAAGTGATGCATTCAGCAAAACACAATTAGATGCTATATGTTATTCATTGTCACCAAATATGTGGATTAACCCACATAAATCATTGTTGGGGCTTGGAAATTATGACATCAATGTCATCATGGCTGCACTACAGCAAAAAGGATATGAAGCCATCTGGTTTGATAAACGGAAGTGAGTTGTTCAGCTTTGGCTTGGTCACACAGCAGTTCTAAGATGTTTTCTGCCTTGTGTTATCACATTATCTGATCATTAGAATTGTACTTAGTCATTTTCAGCAACTTACAGTCTCACAAATTCTACAATTTTCATCTTTCACACTCAGTAGCAGCAAGGTGCTTTATTATGTTTTCATAAGTTTTGTAAGTCACAATGATTGACATCTTGTCAGAATTTGTTGAATTGACTTGTATTGTGCTGTTTCTACTTACAAGATTTTGATTTTGTGATGTTACTTAAATTACAATGACATATGTAAGATTTGACATAGTTGAGATGTCATTATCACATGGTTAGCACATTCGCTTTTGTTCAGCCGTTAGGTTTCAAATCTTGGTGCCTAGGGACCACCCGGGATAAAGTAAAGTAAAAGTAAAGCTGTCCCACTAAATGCCTTGCAGACGTTTGGGGAGGAGGGGGAGAGTTAGGTATAGCTCCTACTCATTCTTGACCTCGGCAGTAGATGGGGGTGAGTGGTCAGCATCACGCCCCTGCCATGCTTTTACCTCTGGGAAAGGACCCCGGTACCCATTGGATTGGAGGCTGAATGGGTCTCTGAACTGGTCTGGATGCAGAGGCTAGAGGAAAAGTTCTCTGCCCCCATTGGGGATCAAACCCCAGACATCTAGTCAATAGAGAGTCACTATATTGATTGAGCTATGCTGGCTCAGTGATAACTTAAATTGGGCTGCGACCACTTTCTTATACATACTTTCAAAATCAGCATTCATTAAATCATCGTATAATGTTTGGATACATAAGCCACAGGTAAATAAAATCTTTCATGTTTAAATTCTACCAGAGTTGTAGGATTTGAGGTTTTCATGGCAGTGAGTCTGAAGATGGCTGTCTTCTACCAAAGTTCTGCCAAAACTGACATAGCTTTACATCAGCCATCATAGGTCCAAGTTCTGAAGATCATTATTATGAGCCATTCCATATGAAACCAAGGTGGAGTATTTGCATTGTTTTTTTTATTTTGATTATGTCATAGTACAACAAATTAATTCAAAAAATAAAATTGGAAGGATGTACCTTTGAAGGGAATGGTCAGGTTGAAACCTTGAAATTTTCTTGTTTACAGAACCCACTTAGTAATGACTGCACACAAAATTTCAGCTGCTGATATGCTGTGCAAGGGTACAAAACATTTGCTCAGAATTTGAGTACAATTCAGATTTGTTTCATGGCATATATGCGTGACAGTACACACCACTTGTGAAGTTCCTAGCTCATTAGAGACTAGTCTTTCACAGCTTTATGAATTTCTAGCTCTTATACTCTTTTGGAAGGCATTACAAAAATACAGTGCCACTGCTATCACATGCATGTGCAAAATTTGACTTTATAATTCATACCATTCCATTGAGAGTCAGAGGTCTTGGAACTTGTTGAAATTAGCAAGTTTTAGGGTTTCTGTTAATTAAACCAGCTTTAGTTCTGTAACGTGCAACAGGAACCTAGGAAGCTGCAAAGACCTAGTCTTTCATAACAGAAGCTTGTGGGGTCAAGTTCAAGGTGACTGGTACACCAATTTTGGCAAAATGTAGGTACCGTTTTGTACTAGAAGGTTGGCAAAGTACAGGTTACTTTTTTTAGGATCTTCCCATGTTGCTTATAATGTTTGTGCATAGTTAGGTTGTAGTATTAATACAAAAATTTAGAACAGTATTTGCCAGAATTACAATTTTTTTAGCTGCCATATGTGAAGAGGGAAGGAACTATGAAGTTAAATTCGTTTTCCCAGTAATCTTATACTGGGTATCTAAAAGCGCACAAAGTGTTGTATTGTGGTTTAAAGTAGCTTAATAAATGGCATTGGAAATAGGCCTACCAGCAGTCAAAATTGATCAATCCAAGGCACAGGTATGAAATGGACCAAATACAACTTCAGAGATATAAGACACTTCAAACAAGTCATCTTCTTCTTGCAACTAATGTAATCAGTAAATTTGTCACAACTAGGGCAGAGCAGGCATCCTTAAAGCATACACACATACTGTCTACATCATAAACAATTACTGAAACCAAGTCATTGTAAGAATGGGTGAGTTTGCCCTGTTAATCATCTTCTTAACATTGTGATGTATGCATCAGACATATAGGGTGTGAACTGGTGATCCCAAGGAAATGCTTCATGGAAATTTAAAGACATCATTCATGATATTTTGAAGATAGATCTATTCTGGGTGTGTAATAGTGATATTTGTATCATCAGCAAAGGGAATAGGTTTGGCTTTGGTTTTTTCAGTATGGTGTAGACACTCAACTGTTTCTTCGTAATACACAAATTTATTTTCAAGTCCAGGAAAAGAAACCCTCCTTTAATTCATTGTAGCATGTGTGCCTACAGTGCAGACGATGTCGATTTGGTTCTTGCTAAGCTTTTTTTTTATTCTAATCAGTAGATCTGAAATGGCTGTGAGACCATAAAATACCAATTATTTTACAAGTGTGCATTTATTTATATTCTTTTTTCCTTCATTCACGTTCAGTGAATGTGAGGAGCGCAGTTGGTTTTTCAACTTCAGTGAATGTGAGGAGCGCAGTTGGTTTTTCAACTTTTCCTTCCTCATCAAACACACACACACATAAAGCTTGGAATTTTGAAGTTCAAGGTTCACTTTTCATTGCATTATAATTCATGTTCTGATCTACACTTTGTCAAGACTGACAGGCAACTGATTTTATCTTTATCATTTCTGGTGATTGGGTTGCTCCTAACAGAGTGGAATTTTGTTGTTTCACATATGAAAACTTAGTAAGGGGATTCTGTCACCTCTGAATGAGACCTCCTGAAAAGATGTTATGTTGTAATAACAGTTTAATTTCGGTGACTTTATCCACTTGATAATGTGTGTTGATTTGACATGGAATGACTATTTACTTGTCAGAAATATACATTTCAGTCCATTGCACTCTTGGAAAGAAGTTTTGTTTGCATATACTTATATTAATGGCAACCTCAAAAAGTATTAGTAACAGTTTGTCAACATCAGACCCCGTATTTGGAATATAACTAACTAACTAGATGGCTTACCGAACCCGAAGGTTCATCACCGACTTAACCTAAGCCCTCCACCGGACCCTGTCCTGGGCCAACAAAATCCAGTTTCCTTCAACTCCTATCTCGCTTAGATCCCGCCTGAGATTATCCTCCCATCTACATCTAGGTCTCCCCAGTGGTCTCTTCCCTTCAGGTTTCCCAACCAGTACCCAGTGCACACCTCTTGTCCCATCCATGCGCGCTACATGCCCAGCCCATCTCATTCTTCTCGACTTAATCACCCTGATAATACTGGGGGAGGAGTACAGATTTTTAAGCTCATCATTATGCAGTTTTCTCCACACCCCATCGTCTTCCCTCTTAGGCCCAAATATCCTCCTCAACACCCAATTCTCAAACACCTGCAATCTGTGTTCCTCCCTCTGAGTGAGAGACCATGTTTTGCACCCATATAAAACATGCAGAATTATTGTTTAGTATAGTTTAATTTTCAGGTTCTTAGAAATCAGGTGGGAAGACAAAATATTTTGAACTGAGAAGTAGCAAGCATTTCCAGAATTCAATTTCCTTCTAACTTCCTCATGAGTGTCATTTTGATTTGATATTGTTGTTCCCAGGTATTTGAACTTTGTAACCCTTTCAAAGGACTTATTAGCTACCCTAAGATAATTCTACCCGCCTGTCTTCTGATGACGAGATACTAACATGTACTTAGTTTTTTCTGAATTTACTTCTAGCCCCACCTGTCTACTAGCCTCTAGTAAAACTTTTGCGTTCCTCTTTATTGTATTCATATCGTCCCCCAATAAATTAACATCATCAGCATATGCCAATAGCTGATGTGTCCCGTTCAATTGCAAACCCTCCTGCCTATCTTGGACTTTTCTGATAGCATATTCTAGCGCAAAGTTAAAGAGCAAGGGAGACAAAGCATCTCCTTGTTTTAGACCGTTCTTGAGGAAGAATGTCTCAGATACATATTTACCTACTCGAATTTTGCTACAGGTTTCATTTAAGCACATTTTTATTAGACTCACTAGCTTCTGTGGTATACCAAACTCAATAAGAATATGTTAAATATATTGAGTAAATAATTAATGGGGCATTTATATGTGAATCCTGAGAGAAACGTTTACCTACAGCTGGGTAGTATCAAATAATAGTCTGTTAAGGAGATTGGTTTTGGTTATTCTGTAGTGTATTTGGTGCATTTTCAAACAGCTGGCACATATGAGGTTGCAAATGCCATAGGGTCATTCCATGTCAAGTCAGAAAATGAATGTGGCATCACTGCCTCAGAATTTAATGACACTTGTCAGTAATAATGTGTGACTCCTTATGAATTAGTACACAAGCATTGAGTGTCTCTAATAAAACCATTTCACAGATATCAATTTTCAGGAAGTAAACACAACAGAAAAATGTGCCACATGCTATTTGCACAAAGTTAACATGGCAATAACTTCTGGAGCCTTTGATTTATTATTTTAACATTAACGTTAGCAGCCACCATCCCCTGCATAATTAGGGAGGCAATTGAGATATCCAAAGACCCACACAACTTGAACCATGAAGATGGCTATAGGCTAACCAAGGTCTGGCTTCCTGTTTTCCCCCAAACCACTAACACTACCAAGTTGATGAACAGCCTCCACTTCCTTCTACATAATTGCTGCAAATCCTTCCCCATTCCAACATGGTCACCAGAACCTTGTCACCTCCTCCCAAATTGTCACCTCATTTCCTCAACCACATCCTCCTCCCCATTAGATAGCAGCCTGTTCCTCTGCTCCACCAATCAGCACCACCAAATTTATCTCTCCACCCACTGTCTGCCCTGTAGAAAACCTCCAGAACTGGCCCCACCTCTTACCAAGCTTGAAAATGGCAACTACAATGTTTGCCAAAATGTTGACACTGAACTGTACTTACCCGAAAACTGAAGTTATACATTGAATTCCAGCCACGAAAACTTACAGACGAGAATATCTCAAAACTGTTAACAGATGAAAGTATGAAATTGAACACATTATCACCTAAAAGAGTAGTCTTAAAAGTATTGATATTGAAATTGCAGCTTCAGGCATTCCTCAGATAACTGAGGAGAATAAGATACAATTTCTTTTCCTTCTTTTTTTTCTTTTTTGTAAAAAAAGTCCATTTGCATACATCATTTATTGAGGTCTGACAGCTCACACACTTATCATTTATGTCAAAGATGTATTGACATATGGTAAAAAATCAAAGAATAGCAGAGATTATAGATTTTTATGTGAAGTATCTTCTGCTTCTTTGATATACTGTCTAAAATCCACCTCTCTGTTGAAAAGAACAATTACCTAATTAACAGCTAGGTGGTCTGTGGGATGCTATACTTCAATATATATTTAGGTAGCCAAAGACCTCCTCAGCTTCTACAGATAATCCTCAATTGCATTTCTCTGTATGTGGGGGGAGAGAGGGATTTTGTTATCAGTAAAATGTAAAAGTATATGTGCCTTCATCTTCATACTCTTCTGAATCAGGAAAATGAATAATCCACACAGATAACTCTCATCTACAAGCATCTTCTCTGAATCCTGATCTAGATACAGTTCTGATCCTAAATTTCCATTTCCAATGGTAAGGTTTCAAGGAACCTGCAATTTCTGTTATGTATACGAGAAGACGAGTGGGCAACTGACCATAAATGTAGACCACACAGATGCTAAGATTATGGATGGTTCCATTTTAATGAACCCCGAAATTAGAGCACTAAACATGTTAGCATGTCAGTAAATGACATGAACTCTCCTATTATTTATTGTTTCAGTGAATCCAAAAATTTTACATGAAAATTACTGAAAAATGTTTAATTGCATTGTATCCGTATGTGAAAATTGTTTAGGTGTATATAAATATGCTCATGTCTTTCAAACTGCATTGTAAAAGCATAATATCAGCCAATAAATAAATAAAAATTCATATCTAAATTTAACAAGGCATTTATCAGTGTGAATCGGTAGTTTACTTGTGCCCATTTCAAATACTTTACAGCATTATACTCATTTCTAAATTGAAAATTTCAGAGTACAGCCTAACAACAGGAGGCCTTTCTCACTTACAGAATATTAGCTATTAGTTGTTAAGGGAGGCTATATAAAAATATTTATAAAAGAAAAATAAGAGGCCTTTGTGAAAAGATAAATTATGAAGATTATGTGGTCATAAGTCTAGTTCACTGACATTGTTTTCATGCAGTAAAACCTAGTACAATGGCCATGAGCCATGTTACATGATGCAATGCATGCTGTGTGTTGAAGTCCACATTGGACCAACTAGAAATACTGCTGCTGTAGCTTAAAAGACAAAGTGGACCTGTAAAGATTAAGTTAGGAAATATAAACATGGCATAGCAATTCTTCTGTACACAGAAATGCATGTAGGCCTTCACATAAAGTTGCAGTTTGTCTTGTAACAAAAAATTGAATTTGTTGACAAATTTTAGTTTCAACTCCCCCATCAGATTTCATGACTATTAGTTCTGCCATTTTGTTGTTGTTTCATGTGAACAGACACAGAAAAGGTAACAGGCACATCTTTGCAACTTTTAGTTATGAATGCATCAAGAAATTAAATAGTAAGGGGGTGGAGGGTGGAAAAGCTTAAGAATCTGGTTCTGTCTCTGTAGAAGAATAAATTGTGTTGAAATCTGAGGGAGGTGGAAGAGAAAATAATTCAAAGCGAGTCTCGCATCATCACTGAACCTGTTTATTCACTCTGCCCTTCATTTCTAAATGTATTATAGCTTGTATAGGTGAATAACAATGCATATACTCTAATTTGTTATTGTTTTTAATATGTCTCACAGCAGAATTATTTGTTTCAACTGCATAATGTGGAACTATATCCTTTGTCTTTTTAGAGACCCAAAATGTCTTAACCTGGATAACATTCTGGGATTCATATTAAATATACCAAGTGACTGCAAGTTGGGTTTTGTGCTCCTGCCCCTACGAAGACGACACTGGGTTGCAATCCGCCAAGTCCATGGAACATATTATAATCTTGACTCAAAGCTTGAATCTCCTCAGATTATTGGCAGGGTAAGTGGAAAGCTCTTTTGACATATGGCTGGTTGTTATGAATTTGGTAACTATGTTTTAAAATTTTAAATGACAAACACTGATGTATGCATTGAAGGATGTTAAATCCTTGCATTATTCTTTAATTTAGCAGTTACAGGAAGAGCTGTCTGAAATCAAACCTAGATTACTGGGAAATTTTCTCTGGTTCCAAAATGTGAAATGAAGCCTAATAAAATTACCTGTAATATTTGTAAATTGTTTACCATGAAAATGAAAAGGAAAAACAATTTAAAGCTGTCATTTGTGGTCTTCTTGGTTGTGATGCTGTATGGTCTTTTAGGTGGTTACCAGCATTTCAGAGGACTGTACTTCACCCTAAATATGGAGTTGGCAATGCCTCAAAAATGTTGGTAACCACTTACAAGACCATATGACATCATAACCCAGTATAGAAGACCACAATCAACACCTTCAATGCTGTGAGAACCTCCAATCTCTGAAAATTATCTGTAACAGTATTTTTGTTGTTCCTATCATTTTATTCAAAATTTATCTGAGAATATTTTTCTAGTAAAGTGGAAGAAGTTAATCCCAAAGGAAAATATGTGTACAGACATATATTTGGCTATTGAATAATGTAATGAAAAAGGGGGGGAAAGAAACGGTGATTAGAGTGTCTGTGGAAGAAGGTTGCTTGAGTTTGGAAGTGATGGCCATTTGGCGATCTTGGAGGATAGTGCAGTGTGGGGCAGCCTACTCTAATCTTGTACTATGAGAACATAGAATGCACAGTGGTTCTAACATTCAATATATAGTCATGTTTCACTAAATGACCAGTGGTAGGAAACTTTCTGTGATTGTTTTTTCTTTTCTTCTTCTTCTATGGCTCTCCGGTCCGTATTCGGTCCATGGCCTCCTCAGTTCTCCTCTTCCATTCGGTCCTATCCTACACTGCTCTGTTAGGTCTGTCCGAGGCTTTGATCGAGGTTTCGAAACATCTTCCTTTTTACGGTGCAAGGTTGTTAGCCTTGCGACCAACCCCCAACCTGGAGGACCAGGGTACCTGTCTTAGTCTGACCTCTCCCCCTCAACCAATCTGGCTAGGGAGGCCCTACCAGTACCTATGCTACCGCCAGCATAGCTCTTGGGTACTCAAGCCCCACCACTATGACAAGGTGCAGGTACTATTAAGTGGGGTGTGTTTTCTTTTATTATACCTATATTGATCATGTCCGGTGGCAGGCTTTGGTGTTGTCGGTGTTAGACCTGTAGGTTCTGCTACCAAGGAGTGTTAGTTAGGGAAATCCCCCCCACCCCCAGGTAACAGAACTTGCAGAATTCCCCGTCCTCCTCCACACAGAGACCCATTTGTATGATACATGATTATTTGTCACAGTCATTGCATGATGATAGTAATAATGACAGGAACACAGAATAATTTTACTGGCTTGTGTTACCATGTGCAACTTTGTGTGGCCTTTTAAGGTTTTTCTTTCTCTCTGGCTCTTAGGCAATGATAAATTGGTAATTATGAGGGTGATGTCAAATAATTAAGAATTTACAGATCATGTTAAGGAATCACCCCCAGCATCTGCTTGTGACTGAAGAAAAAGAACTGTCAAGGTAACTGATATCCTTCTGAATGTGAAGCTATCATGGTTTTGAGTTGCCAACCTCTATCAGCAATTTCAAGAAATATTTAAAAATGTTATAATGTAAGTCAAATTATCAAAAATAATCATGTTTCAGTTTTATCTGCTATCTCCTACCTACTTACATAAATTTAGGGAGACTAGGTGTTCTCAACCTGCAAGCTGCATGAGCCCTCAAGTACGTTTTTGCAGCTTGCTTATGTTTTTTTATAACAGATGTGTCACTGCATTGAAAGGAATATTTCTGTGATATCAGAGAAAATATGTTTTATTAATGTCATGAATATTTGGCAAGAACTGTTGTGAGCAACTGTTTAGCTTAATGAAGAATATCAAATTAAGAATTTATAGACGAACACTTCAAGGAATGCATGCAAATCACAACCTTACTGCCTACTCAAAGATTTAAATTTTTTTTATTTATTGCCGCCTAGCAAATGAAGGGTATGTGCGTGCGTGCATGTGTATATATATATATAGAAAGAGAGAGAGAGAGAGAGAGGGGCCTTTCCAATATTATAATAATACATTTCTTTGTTCTCCTGTAGCTAAAACCAGAAAGATTGTGATGTTCTGTAATAAGACTGAAATTAGTAACATGTTATATACATAAAATAGATGGGCCACTGCTTCATTCACATTAAACATTAATATTTGGACATAATATAATTAACGTGACAGTTAATCACTAAACTTTGATCAAACAACCAAGGCTGAACTCAGTTATATTAAATTCATGACAATGATTAAAAAGTACAGATCATCAAGACTGGGAAAGGAAACTGTGCCAATGATATTGTGTTATTGTTTGTTTGTAACAGTGATGTGTTCACTGCTCAGAGTATATTTCTCTACTCATACTCTTAACCCTTTGAAACCCAGTGGTAGCTATATGTATCATACAATCTCAAAATAAACAGTATTAACTAGTTGATTTTTATAATGGAGACAACTTGTTTTCTTTGAGGTAAGACCTCAATTTTTAAATATTCTTTAGATGAGTTTTGGCTTCAAAGGGTTAATTTGTAAGTAGGGAATTGACTCATTTGAATCAGACATAAAAATACCAATACTAGTCTCAAGTCAGTTATATTTAATTCCATATAAAGTCACCCCTTACTCTGAAAGTATTAATACAATCAAGAGAATTAAGTCATTAGTCCAAGGGACTTGCCAATGTTTTGTGCAGCTTGCATATATTTTTGTAACACTGTATCAAACCTGTGAGACAGGATACACACATGCGTACTCCACTATGGGCCCTCTTCTTATACTGCGTTTTTACCAACACAATGATAACCATAACACAAATCAAATTATACGTATAAAATATTCATAAATGCAGTTAAATTAATTTTATCACAAATTCCTCTCATCATTATGGCTCTCCATCTCTCCCAGCACAGACTTACAATAATAAATCGAACTTGCTGCTTGCACCTCTACTGAAAGACACTTTAACATCAAAAGGGCCAAAACTGAATTTAGTTGAAACAGCTTACTTTTGATGGTAACTGCACACACTAACCTTTAAGCCCATCATGGACTTTGAAGTAGAAGGCTCCAGACCATAAAGCTTGCCAGTCTTTGTGCTGTCACTCCCCTGACCAGACTTGGTCTTCATCAGAGCTCAACACAGATGACATGGGTTCTGGCTTTCTTTTTTCCCACATTGCTAGTGGAAAAGAGGGACAAAGGTGAGAGATACCAATGACTATTTAGGCCTGCTACTAAGTGTGATGTGCTCCACTGAACCTCTCCCTTAAACCCAGATTACTATGGGGACAGTGGTGCAGCACGTTTCTTACAAACAGAATAGCTTCCTGAAGATTTCTGTCTTCTGGGTTGTTGCGCTGTGTAGTCTGGTCGATGTTAACCAACGTTTCAGAGGTCATCAGGGTGATGAATATTCATCGCCCTGATGACGGAGGCAGTATGACCTCTGAAACGTTGGTAAACATCTACCATACTACACAGTGCAACAACCCAGAAGACAGAAATCTTCATACTCACCGCTGTGAAAACCTCAAATCTTACAGAATAGCTTCCTGTTATACTGTCCACCATTCAAATCGTCATTTGTGCTGAGGACTGCCACCATGAAAATGCACTTATGTTTGAGGGTAAGGTACCACATTGCAGATGCAATACTGATCTGGGTCCCCACATGGAAGTGTGCTTGGAGTCACCATTATACACAGATGGAGGCACTTCTGCTCACAAACACTATGTTGCTGGTGCTCCTTTATAGATGGGAATATCATTGCCTAGGATCAGTGATAGGAACTTCCATATATTACCGTGTTAAAATGGAGGAGAAAGCAGCTATCTCTCTTCCCCACCGAACCTGTCTGCCTAACTGATTGTTTGTCACATGGCTTGGCATCCCCACAAGATCAGCTGGCACTGATGTTCAACATAAGGTTTATTTTGAAGAACCATATTATCTCAACAGTGACTTCTCACCTGAGTGGGGGGAGGGGGGTAGAAGGAACCATGTGACATGGGTTGCTCTGGACTCTCACTCAGCAAAATTGGAAACAAAATATAACCAAGAAACATGTGTTCCACATGTACTTTATCTTCAGAACAATAACCAGTTACAAGTCAGTCATAAAATATAACCACTCTCTCTAGGGGAACAACCTATTGAAAACAATGGGACATAAAGATATCAGTATTGGTCTCATATAAGTTGTACCTCACCCCAGAGAAAATCACCCATACTGTAAATAGAATGGATGCAACTCAGAATGAAGTCACATGTTACAGAGATTGCAATCTGCAGTCTATCACATGTTTTGTGTGACACAAAGAGCTTTGGAATAGTGAGTCACCCTTGATGATGAAAAAATATTTACTGCATAACATTTACATAATTGGCAAATCAACAAATTTATTAAGGAAAGGAAAGAAATATGTGGACCTATTTGTCCATTTTTAATAAATTGAGATGAAATTTCAGTAAATGTCCATGGCAGCCTGCAAGTCAATAAGGGTTAGTGACCGTAAGTTTTGAAGTGTTGAGATCCTCCACTATGGTCAGAAGAGTAAAGATTAGAGAGCTGTTATTAAATGGTGATTCTCTTCTGCATTAACATAGTTTCTGTTCCAAAACAACTTATTAGTATTGTCTTGCTAAAGGAAAATCAAGAGAGAGGCTGTTTGTAATATATTCTACACATCATGATGAAAAAGGAATTTATGTTAAATAAATGATGATACCGACTGTATCATTGATGAAGTTCTTAAACATCTTGACAGAGAAGTTAAGATTTGGGCATACTTAGTTGTATTTGTTAAGTGTAAACTGTAACAAATATATGATTTGACAGAAGAATTCCAAGTAATGTATATTAAAGATGTGTTCTCTTGCTATATATGCTTAATAGGTATATATAAATAGAATTTACTTGGCTAACCCCATTATCATTACTAGTGTCATGTAAACTCCTGTTCCCAACTGTCAGTTTGAAAATATTTTCCCTACCCCACTTTCTGTTGAAATCTCCAAACAGAATTTGATACTTAGGAACTGATCAAGTACACACACTAGTTCCCCATGAAAGCTGTCCTTTGTACCATCACATTTATCCCCGATTGGTGCATGCACATTCAGAACAATATCACACCAACAACCTCTTATAGTAGCTGTCACCATATTGCATGCTTTAAGGTCACATCAAAAATGTACAATGCTGCATTGCAAACAGTGGAGCACAGAAGAAAAGACAGTTCACTTCTCACAGCATAGAAGCTTGCAACACTTTACTGGTGACTGAGAGCTATGTAGTAAGAGGTGCTGAAGTCCTTGAAGTGTGCAATTTTGTGATGGCTTCTATAGTCTTATTTATATAGAACAATGTATAATCTGGAACGTAGATGTATATAGCATTTATGGAAGCCTAGTTGCTGCTTATAGGTTAGGGGAAGGTTTCCAGAGATCACCATAAAGACATATAAGAAGGTGATTTGTAGCTCCACACATTCTCTACCTCAGCTCTAGACAGTGGTGACTGAGCAGTTAGCATTGCACTCATGCTGCTTTGCTCTTACTGTGAATCAAATGTCAGCCTTCCAACTACTTGTAGGGTTGAATAATAAAGTGAACGTCTTGAAGTGTGATGGTTTTCACTGCAGGGAGGGGACATCACTACATACCTGTCTGAGCAACTTGAGTGCACAGAAAAAGAACTGTTTGTCGTTGTAACAAGTGATGTGGAGCAGAATCAGAGCTGGCAAAGTGATTCTCACCTGGAAGGAAATGGTGTGGAGCCTGTGTCAAATAACCATTCATTAATACCAGATTTTAGTAATACCCTCAGCAGTACAGGTCAAGGTAACAAATCAAATATTGACAGAACAGCAGTAATGGACGAGAATATGGACTCTATCACACAGCAGCTACTATGCAACATTACGAACAAACAGACAAGTTCTTCTCTTCTAGAATTAAATAGGTAGTGAATGTGATAATGTTGTTTCTTGTGAATAGTTCAGCTAATGGTATTTGGTGACAAGACTTGGTATGAAATATGTGCACAAAAATAAATGTTTCATGGCTGAATGTTGTGATTTTATTGCTGCCACATCCTGGTGGATGGTGACTTAAACGTAATCTTACATCATTACTACAGCATTTTAAAACAAATGGCAATATAAAATAAACCACAATATGAAACACATTTTTTGTCTTATAATTTTTGACAAGGTCTATTGTAATTGATCCTTTTAATATCATTCCTTCTTATACTAACGAGCAGACACAACCGACCGTTTGGTGCATGTTACAAAAACGTTTGCACTTAAAACCATACAGATTTACCATTGTGCAAGAAATTACTGACGAAGATAAAGTGGCTCGTCAGAAATTTTGTGCAGAAATGTTGCATCAGATAGGGGAAGACGAAACATTACTGGACTACATAATCTTTAGTGATGAATCAACATTTCATGTCAGTGGTAAGGTGAACACCTGCAACTGCAGGATTTGGGGCAGCGAAAATCCACGTGCATCTCTGGAACATGTTCGTGACAGTCCAAAGGTGAATGTGTTTTGTGCCCTTAGCAAAGTTAAAGTGTACGGCCCGTTCTTTTTCCATGAGAGAACCATCAACGGTATTGTGTATCTGGATATGCTCGAAAATTTTCTCATACCACAATTAGACGAAGATTACCAAGAAGGACGCATTCACTTCAAGCAAGATGGCTCGCCACCTCACTGCCTCACAGAAGTCCGGGATTTCCTCAACAACCGTTTCCCAGGTTGGTGGATTGATCGAACAGGGCCAATAGCATGGCCATCTCGTTCTCCAGATTCGACACCTCACAATTTTTTCTTATTGGGTTTCATTAAAGATCGTGTGTTTGTTCCACCCTTACCTGCCAATCTCACCGAGCTCAAAGCTCAAATCACCGCCGCAGTTGCAGAGGTGACACCGGATATGTTGGATCGTGTTTGGCAATAAATTGATTTCAGGTGGGATGTCTGCCATCACCAATGGCAATCACATTGAACCAAAATGACTGTTTGAGGTAAAACGTGATTTGTTTTGCTACAAAATGACACCTCAACCGATTCTGTAAGCCTTCTGAATACATTTCTATACACTTTCAAAGTTGTAAAGTTCTTTTAGAATCACCCTGTATATATAATCAGTTGACCATTATATCCGGATAGGGTAGTCACTACTCCCTTCCACAAAATTTGATGTCAGCATGCTTGGAATTCAGGTGGCCAAGTGGTCCAAGTGGCCAAAATGTAAATAAATCATTCACATCTATGCCAGTATTTCAGATACATTGGGTCAGAGTCAATGGCTTCCACTTCAGAAGCTGTCATAAATATGCTGGCTAGCAGAGGGAATAACAGGGATTCCATAGCAGCACCTTGTACTTGTCAGAATTTTGCTTGGTGTATGAAGGTGTAGTTGGCACACTGTGCTATTAGGCCAGAGACATTCTGTAGAAGGTCTGATGTCATTCTGTGCTCCTAGACAATATACAGTTTGTACTGGGACTCTGGTGAAGAGTGATTCCATATCAAAGGTGATGAGGATGTCATTCTCTGCTTTGAATCAAATATTTCCCATGTTTCTGTAACAACTTGTTTCAACTTATAAAATGAGGTTGGAGGAATATCAAAATCTCTCTAGCATGTCCAAAGCAACTTTATTTTGCTCAGGTTTAATGTAGTGACACACGTGGATTTTTTTTGCATCTTCTTCCTTTTCATGGTTGTCTGATAACCAAACCTCTCCATAGCCACTCCTTCATATTTCCTTCAGAGCCAGTAGTTCTAACATGCCACCAGCTCTAGCAAACCTGTGGATTGGGAGCCAAATGTTTTGGCATACCACAACAGGTGGCTGGAAGTGCCAGCCAACCTGAGGACAAGAGTGACCTACATGTAGCCCATTAGTAGGCTGAAGCTATACAAAGGGGTTCTCCAATACAGAGCCTCCTTTTTGAATATGATTTATTTCAGTACCTCAGGGGGACTGATAATATCAGTACCAGGCAACCTCAGCTGCTAAGATTATCTCTTGGCAGGGAGCCAGTAGTTCTGGTATGCCACCTCAGGGAGCTGACATCATCAACCAACCTTGGGCACAGAATTACTGTTGATTCACTGACAAACTTCTATCAGACTACATTGCACAGCATCCCAGAAGACAGCTATCTTCAAATTCATGAACATTGTTGAAAAGTACACACCACAAAGTTCAGAAAAGGAAACCACATCAACAGAACTCCAAAGAGTTCTAACAATGGTGCATTAACATTCAATATTGCTGTTTTTGTGGACATGATCCACTGTACAATATACTAAAATGACAATGTGTGTAACTTCAAGCTCTTGCAGTGACAAAATACAATAAAATCCTCTCAAACAACCAGCGATGTCAATACTGAGCCTTAGTACATTTCAGAGACCTTATCTGTCTCCATCATCATAGAATGATGTGATGAAACCATTTGCTCAGAGTCACTGCACCTGGAACTTTGTCTCAGAGCGACCCAACAAAACCTGTCTAGAAAGAGCCACTCATCTACTTTCATTCAGGAAGTCCTGTCACCTTCACCAGCGGTAACACCTCCAGTTTCTAACTATTCTCTGTGTCACTTTACACAGTCCTTCATACTGGTAGCCACTCTCCAGTTTTTTGTTGTTGTTTCTGTGTTGCTTAACCTCATTTGTCTTATGAAGAAAGTTAATGAGGAGATACCAAGCCTGACAGAATGAATCCGTCTGTTAAAATTGGTGGGGTGCAAATGAACTGATTTACTGTACTGACATAGCTGCTGGGACCAATTCTTTATTTGAGAAGTTAATCACTGTAACACTAGGTCAGATGGTACATAGGAAACCAACCCACAGAGGCCTCTACTTCCACACTATGTCACATCATCCAGCACAAAATAAAGGACTGTCTTATTCATGTCGATTGGCTGGGCAAGACTAACTGTGATCCAGTCCACCTGGAAGGAGTAGTTCACCATTTTTGGAAATGTTTTAAAACAATGGTTACAGCACAATGGAAATACAGTGCACCCTTCACCCAAAAAGGAAATAAAGCAAAAGACTCTGGACAGTAAACCAACTGGCATGGCCATAATACTGTAAATGCATACAGTCTCCAGAAGGATTAGCAGGCTGCTGGCCAAGTATAACATTAAGATCATAAGTCAGCTAGCAAAGAAAAGTAACAATAAGTTAAGATCAGTCAAAGATAATAAAATATGTGTTGGGCATTTATTGTATCCTATGTGAGTGTAGCAAGGTGTATGTAGGACAGACAGGGCATACTATAACAACCAGATTCAAAGGAATTCAAGTCCACAAATCAGAGAAATCTGCAGTCACAAAACATTGCATAGAAACAGGTCACAAAATTGATTTTCGTAAGACCACTCTTGGGTTGCTCTGACATGAAGCTCCAGGTGCAGCAACTCAGAGTATATTAATCCAAATCCTTCAATTGCAGTTTGATACTGGTGTTGGCCCTTTCTATCATATCTAACAGAGTAGGCATTATCACATGATTATGGAGAAGAACCATCTCCCAAAATGTATTGTCATTTTAGAACACTGAACAATGGATCAAGTACACAAAAACAGCAATTTGTATGCATCAACAATATTTTGTATTATTGTTTGCTTATAACAGGCATTCAGTGCTCAAGGTATATTCTTACTTACACAAATCTCTTCATTCATAATTGCTGCAAATTGGTCATCTGTGCCACTAACATTTGTATAGATATGTGAGGGCTTGTTTCAACATGGAGTCTATCTAGTCTTGATTTTACAAACTGAATTATACAGGTTTTTTTATGAGTTGACCTACTCCATCCAAAATGCCCGCAAAATGATCACCTGAGCTCAGAAGAGGAAATGAAGAAAATAAGAACTGTTACAGTTGAACCACAACTTCAGGCTTGCCAATTCTGATGAAAAATGAAGTGGTTACATACTTTCATGTAAAGTGTCTATACAGAATTTTAAAAAAAACCCATTGCACAGTTGCAAAGTTGTTACATGCTGACAGCCAAACGGTGACAAAGCTAATAGGGAGTTTTTGAGACATTCTTTGTGAATTTGGATAGATGTACTGACACAGTTGCTTCTGACATAGGTTATGGTCTGATTCTACAAAATTTACCATTTTAATAAGAAATTTACTAAATATGACATGACAGATGGGAAATGTTTCTCTCTTATTCTATGACAAGAATTATAAATGCATAATATATATTATAATTACAATAGAATTTACTTACATTCCACAGATCCTTCATATGTCTAGGTCAAGGATGTAGAACATGTCATAACATAAATACAATATTCGTTTCTAATACAAATATAAATGCACAGTTGTGACTAATCTATAGTTTACTACAGAATTACAGTAAAAATAATAAAACAAGAAAGCATCACCACTATTAAAAAATTAAATCCGTGGTGTAACAGCTCCAGAGAGCCAAAGCCGACTAACTTCACTGCTGGCCTCACGTTCACATGCCTAAGCAGAGGTGAACGATCATCCAACCAGATATAGGGTGACGTGTGATCAGCACGACAAACCCCCAGCCATTGATACCACTATTACTCCTGTGTAATTATAATAGTTGAGAAATTTTAGTTGATGTAAATTTGTATACAGAGCAGAACTGAGATAAGAAGACGCTCTTTTGGTGCTGGCTTGAACTTTTTCATATAATGATTTAGACTTTTGATATTCCAGTATTTTAAACTAGTACAGCACTTATTTTCATGTCATTTGATTCCTAACTGATAGATAGTACACATCCTGATCACCAGAAATTACGTACATACATGTTACAAATCATATAATGTCTTTCAATTCAGTCATGTTTTTAAGCATACTAATCACACAGTTCTCTGTATAGTTAGGGGAAGAAGAATAAATTGCGTTCAACCAGACTGTACAGCAAAGAGGGCAAGAAATGGCATCCACAAGCAGGGATACAAAAGGATGATTAAGAGATCAAACTTATTCCAGATTCTGACTCAGAGGATTATGACAAAACATGAGGAGGCGGATGGCCCAACATGACAACCCCAAATTCCACTCTGAGAAGCAACACAAGGGGTGCACAAATGGGGTAGATAGATGGGTCAGGCAAACAGGAGGGTCATGTCCATACACCAGACGGAAGG